CATATTGGTATAATTTACTGTGAGTTGTTTGTACTGGTACTGTGCATTCTGCTATAATTATTTGCATTACTATTTGTTTTTTTCTTCAGATAAATCTGATAATTGTTGCTCGGTCTCTTTACTCATTTATTTAGTAGAGTGTCCACACACCTTCTCATTCTACATATACATAGAGGTATACTGGTGGCTTTACAGTCTACATTTTATTGATTATCTCTGATCCCCACGGCCAATTTGGTCGTTGCGACAGTGCGACGCAAAACCACTGATGCTAGGTGGTGTCAAGCTAAAAAACCCCGACTCCTATCTGTTGCCTCTTTAATCTTATTTATGCACAGAGCATCAACAGAGAGGCCGAGGAAGGCAAGGAGCAAGAGACACTTTGTCCACGTTATATACGTCTCTTGTATATGAAACATCTGTGTTGTTGCTTCATTTTTTAAACACATCTGTTGCCTGTATCCAGGCGCTGTCTCAATGTCACCAAATAGACTACAACTACCAAGAAGAACGGTGACGCTCTATGATCCACCTCACACACAAACGCCCAGCCCTATTTTCAAGTAGCCTAGCATAGACAAACCAAACACTGGCTCTAGATAGGGCCATTTGCATTTTTATGTTGGCCACCATAGTTAGCAGCCCCTTCGTGATGAGCAGCGTCAGAAAAACACAGATTCTTTAACGTGAAACTGCTTTATTCAGTGTTTTTACTGTTTTAAAACAACTCGTCTGTTTGTTTTGGAGAGGAAGAGACCTCTGTGGGTAATACAGCTCCTGGTTTAAACCTCCTGAACAATGAACACTAACCAGGAGATGTTTCCCCTGGTTGCAATCTGGAATCATCGCTGACTTTAGGCCACTAAATCCCCCCTAACACACACTGCTCCTTTAATATCTACATCCCAGAAAGTCCCAATATATAATCACTGAATTTTTCCCTACCACACGGCCCAGTATCTATGAGTTATGATGAAAAAAAGTTAAAAAAACAATCTCCAAGCATCAAGAGACACACAGCAGCAGTTTAGCCCCTCGTGGCAGAGCGAGATAATGAAATCAATATCGTTAGGTTGAGCGGCAGAGTTCCAGCTGTGGCGGGGTGAAAGTAGTGGATCTGCAAGTGGCTCGAGTCCAGATGGAGCAGCTGGTGTCTGGACACAGCAGCTCAGTAATCCGGGCACAGAGGCAGAGCGAAAAGTGCTCCATCAGTAGTGCCAGAGCTCCAGCCTGCTACAATTAACTCATCTCATCATAACGAACACTGGGAGCTGAGATATACAGACTGGATGCACACAGATACAGCCCAGTCAACTGTATGTGCTCACATTTTATCTGTAGAGGATTACAACCTTTTGATCCATATAAAAAATTAATGCTTTTCATTTTTTTTGTCTATCCACTATTGATGTCTGAGGAGATAAAACTGGAAGCACCCCGTTGAGTTAAACTGTATTCTCATGCTGTGGCTCCATGTCAGTAACAAGGTCTGACCTTGATCAGCTCCAAGTTGCCGTTCTTCTCTGGAGGAATGCCTCCCTTCACAGGGTAGCCCATCCTCACAGGCAGGGGGACGACGTTCGGTCTGAAGGGGGCCGCTGCTGGATAAACTGCAGTCCAGTCCTGGTCCACCGCCATCTTTTCTGTCCTGGGCTCCCCTGACTGACACAAAACACAAACAAAGCTTTTTCAGAAGGAAACTGAGAAAATCCAAAACTGTTTATTGCAAGCGGCTTTCAAAATGTGTATCAAAATCATCATTACTTCTCTATTCAAAAAGAAATGTCATCAGGTTTGGTACTGGAGATATTGTCTCATTTGAAATATGAGCATCTTGTTATATTCAGCCTCATAAAACAGACATAAAAGCTGCACACTTACAGATCTCCTGGGTTTTCTGAGTCCTCTAGTGAGTCTATCAGGAAAGCCTGAAACACACATACATAAACTTCTGTAATTCCTATATGTTAAATCTACATAACAGCATTTCATTTCGTGCTGCTAACAATGTTATCTGCAGATAGAACTTTAACCACCCACCACACAAATCCCATCTCTCAAGTACAATTTTTGGAATCAATAATGTATAGATTGATATTTCTCTAAAATAGTTTCTATTTAAAAAATCATTTACTTTGTTAAAAACCAGTTTTTCTAAAATCTTACTTAAAGGTCGGTAATTATTAAAAATGTTGGGATCTAAATTACTCTTCTTCAGAAGGGGCTTCATCATTGCCGTTTTGAAGGCAGCGGGGAAGACAACCGTCTGAAGAAAGTAATTTACTATATTTAAAATCTGTTCCTCAAAGAATCCATAAAATGTTTGTAGAAGTGATGTGGGAATCGGATCTAAAAGGCAGGTTGTTGAGTTTACCTGGGAGAAAACTTGACCAAGTGTCCTTGCATCAACCAGGACAAAACTCTCCAGTGTTTCCTCAGGTAAAAGCAACGATCCAGGTGTGTTAAAAATTACATTCTGTTGGGATAACTCTGAGACTGGACCTGATATCATCCATTTTACTTCTGAAGTTGTCTGCAAAGTCCTCGCAGAGGGCGTCTGTTGACATCTTGGATGGTTTATTAAAATTGGTGTTGGTTAAAAGATCAAAGGTGGAGAAAAGGAATTTGGGGTTGTATTTATGATCGGAAATGAGTTTTGAAAAGTGGGATATTCTTGCCTGTTTGAGTGTTTTATTGTAGGACTTGAGCTGATCGCGTAATATTTCATAATAAACTGTCAATTTGGTTTTTCTCCACCTCCTTTCTGCACTTTATTTTCAACTTTTTGATGTTATCATTTCTCCACAGCGGTGTAGGGTTTGTTTTTGTGGTTTTAGTTAAAAGTGGAGCCACTGAGTCAAGTGTTGACTTCAATTTACTGTTAAAATTTTCCACAATAAAATCACAGGGTGCTGGTAAAATTTCAACAGAAGTGCTCTGTAAAATCTGGATAAAATTTGCAGCCATAACTGTGGAGGAAGTGAGACCTGATCAGAACACTCACTCTTGTGACTCTTATTCACACGGAGCTCACATCTATTGTGAAAATTTGGGGCGGCAGTAGCTCAGTCCTTAGGGACTTGGGTTGGGAACCGGAGGGTCGCCTCTTCAAGTCCCTGTCCAGACCAAAAATATGGAGTGTGGACTGGTAGCTGGAGAGGTGCCAGTTCACCTCCTGGGCACTGCCAAGTTGCCCCTGAGCAAGGCACCGAACCCCCAACCGCTCGGAGCGCCTGTCATGGGCAGCCCACTCTGACATCTCTCCACTTAGTGCATGTATAGGTCCAGTTTGTGCATGTGTGTGTTCGGACCTGTGTGTAATTGACAACAGAGTGAAAAATTGAATTTCCCCTCGGGGATTAATAAAGTAAAATAAACAATTCCCTATTTTTCTGGGGATCCTCTGGGACTCCTTTGAGGACCCCTGGAGGTCCCCGGACCCCTAGTTGACAACCAACTCTCTAGACTACACATCTGTCCTTGTGGGTTTATGCACCATCTCATTTTCAATTATCTATTTTCTTGTCTTATTCTACTGCAGATAGATTATGATAGAAAAGGGTAAAACAGCATCAGGGTAGTGACACCATGATCCCATAAAATATGACACCAGCCCCCACAAAGACCCTGATACTCTCCACACCCAGGACAAATTAGGCTAGTACGGTTAAAAATCGGTTTATCCGTGTTAATAGCTTCTCTGCGTTCAGTTTAGAAGTTTAGACACCCTAAGCGCTAAACTATAGCACTGTCAAAAGGACAGGAGACCCATTATCTTGGCCTTGGTAGCTGCATTTCAAGCAGTTGTCTTCGCCTGCGGCTCGAATTAGCATGAACTATTTTAGCAGCGACACAAACACTCACCTTTATTTCTGGCATTAGAATTTACAGACACATCCGTCGCGTATGTGGCTCTGCTCACTGATTTCTGAAGTCCAAGACCATAAACATTTAGTCGACCTAGGGACAGAAACGTCTTACATGTGTGTGAAGCCATGTTTTCTCAATGACTACGGGAAGCACCGAGGGACAAACAGCGAGATTTGCGAAAGGTTTAACTGAGTGTTCAGTGCCTCCTACAGGTGGACGAAGGTGGAAACACGGCTTGTGACGTATGATGGGACATTATCCGGGCTGTAACACTTTAATAAAGAAGCTAGGAGAAATATTTTGGTTAAAATTAACGGCAAAAACCTCCCTTCGTTTGTATTTACACTGGTGCGTTGAATGTACGCGCGCGACCAATGTGCACGTGCGACCAGCGGCTGCCTCTCCGCCAGCTGCTGCTTTTTGAAACACATGGGGCGTTCAAATACACCCGTTAAATTATGTTTCTGAGGTAGAAAGTCGTAAAATTAGCCCCGAGGCCACGCTCCAGGACAACACACCCACACTAACGTTTGAAGTGAGGCCTAGGAAAGTGTTGTGTTCGTTTGGACGCAGGTTAAAAACACTTCAGGCACTTAAAATATTAGGTTAACTGGAAGTTGATGAGCACACAGAGTTGACTTACATTGGAGGTGGTGGCAGGAACAGTATTTATAGAGTTAAAATGACATTGACCGGAAGAAGCTGCATGTCATGGATGTATAAAGCTGCATGTGGGGTAGGTTTGCAAAGAAGTTTGTCTTATTATATGTTTTTGTTGTTGCCCAGCTTGTGCACTTTAACTAGTTAGTTTCAGATGGGGATATGACTTGGTGTTGTTCACTTTCTGTAGCACTTTCTAAGACAATGTTTTTTGCTCTTTTAGTGAAAAACCAAGTTTATTTCATGGTGTTTATCCAGTTATATTAACTTCACTGAGGAAACAATGCTTAAGTGCATGGCCGGGTAAACTTGTTAGGGTGTCCAGGGACAAAAATGGTTGCCAGACCCCTTAAATTTCTTCTGTGGGCTGGCTCATGGTGTTTTAAGTATCAATAGCCATGTTTCCATTACCCTGTTTAGATGCACATCTAGAAGTATTGCATCGGAAAGCTCTGATGGAAACGCCAAAATTTGAATTAAAATCCCCTGATTCGCACAAACTAAAATAGGCTTGCTTTAGCTGGGTTTTGGTTGATTCGAAAAAATATTGATTCGCAAAACGGGGGATGGAAACAGTTATGTTCGAATTAAGTCTGACGTAGTGCACCTCTCTCCATGGTGATATCCACATTCCGGGTCGGAAAGGCGGTAATACATTTACAAGCTGGTTGCCAACCGCCAGAAAACGTAGAAGAATGTGAGACTTGTTTTGTTTTCGGTTCGATGATTCGAATCACTCTTGGATGGAAACATAGGTAATGACTGCATGTTAATTTGATTAAACACAACTTTATTGAGGATTATGCAGCACAGAGATCACAGATAAGCCTAGATTTTGACACAGGGCCCCTCTACAAGATAGGGCCATAAGGTCACATGATAATGTATGACCCACCTTGTTTGATACAATACTTTATACATTTGTGAATATCTAAAGTATATAACACTGCCCATGTTGTACGGCTGATAATCCAAACTATTAGTGTTGTGTCGTTCACGAATGAATCATTCAAAAGAACGAATCTGTTGAGTGAACGTACTGAACTGAATCACTTCCGGAACTGATTCGTTTATTTCTCAGTTCAGTTGAGCTCCGTGCGAACAGTGAATCACTTGCGAGTCACGAGGCAGCCTGGGTGCAGGGAGGAACTGCCTACTGTGTGATGAATCACTCTGTGAACGAATCACTTGGAGAACGAATCACTCGGAGAAAGAATCCCTCGGAGAACGAATCACTCCGTGAACAACGTACCCCCGATCCCTGAGTGATTCAAATCATTTCTTCTCAGCGATACACTTTCATCGGGACCGTTTTATCTAAGATAACGGCTAATGTAGCCAGGAGTCAAGCCACATGAACACAATCACACACCTCCACATTGTTTTAACAGACTTAGTTTCCAGATAAACAAACTAAAAATGTTAGGCTAGCCAGTAATGTTACTCAGCACTCCTGGAAGCCGTGAACTGAACTGAATCATGAATTGTTCAACAGTGTATCAGTTCAGTGAGTCGGACTACACAGTACACAGTCAGGGCTCCTCCCACCAAGCTCTGAACAATTCGGTGAACGAATCTTTTGAATGAATCTTTTTAATGAACTGATTCTAGTGATTCAGTAACATCTAAAGAACTGCTTTGCCCATCACTACAAACTGTGCCAAAGTGATGCTGGACAGGGCCTAAAGGTGTGAAAATAACAACAGCATGTCCTGATGCTTTATTTTGAAAATCAAGAGGCAACAAGGTTATATGTGTATATATATGTCAGCAGTGAGAAATCCACATTGGGTATTTCACTATCAAAGACCACGCCACAACAATATGTCGTTTAAATGTTTAATTGTAATCCAGGAGGTGTTCGTTGTAAGAGGGATGTCTTCTGTTAGGTTGATCTTGGAGGATGTGCTGGAGATCGGGCAGAGGAAGACCTTCCACCCGAGCTGATTACAGGCCCCCCAGGACGTACCTAGAATGAGATATGGGAGAGGTATGCACCAGATTGAATGAGAATAGATGAGGGGAGAAGGGAAGAGAGAATGAGGGAATGTAGGTAGGGATGAGGTAGGGAGGATGATGGATGAAGGGAAGGGAAAGGGAGTGTGGGTCAAGAAATCGGAGACAAGCAGACCAGGATGGGTTGACCAGGTATAAGTTAGCAGGTAATCAGAGGTGTGGTTGAGGCATGGCCCTGCTCCCAAACCTACGTTAACAAATTAACTTCATATACTAATGTTTTAACTAGTGTTGGTTTTTAATTTACTAGTCACAAACTGTCTCAGTGAATGTGACAAATAGGAAGTCCACACAAAACAAGCACAATTTATTAAACTAAACTAAAATTAACTTAAATAACCAATGGAGTGTGTAGGTCAGCAAAGTCAGTACTGAAAGCCATGCATGGGTGTGTGTCAGGTGTGCTATGGAGGTTTTGACAGTGCAAACCAAAAGCAATGATGCCAGGTGGATGTCTGCTGCAGGAAGGGAGAGAGCAGATGAAAACAGGAGGGAGCTTTTATAGTCTGGAAGGCCAAGGCAAGCACCTTCAAGGTCACAACTCGACATAATTAATAACATAATTAACATTTTTATGGTAATTAATTCACCAAACAAACATTTGCCATGATGTATAGGCGTTATGGTGAGAAACGCTGAATGTAAACACATCATGTTTGCTTAAAAGAAAACCCCACAAGCGATGACCTTGAAGTTATTTATCAAGCATTTTATTATTTATTGCTGCTTCGGGCTGTTTGTTTTTGTTTTACATTATTGTAAATTGAATTTCTTTAAATTTAGGGCACAGACTGCATAAAATAAAAGATTGATAAAATATTTAGGACTGTCAGATGGACAGTACAAGCAATTTAAAAGCATCAGTTTGCACCTTGGGGACTCGTGATGGGCATTTTTCTCTGTTTCATGACAGTTTTTAGACTACACAGTTACTTGATTGAATAAAAATTTGATTAATTTGGAATTCAAATGATGCAGAAATCTGACAAAGAAAATCACTCTCTGGATCCATATGGTGGCAGCTGTGGCTAAGCTATCACAAATAATCAGAGGTGGGTAGAGTAGCCAAATATTGTACTCAAGTAAGAGTACTGATACTTTAGAACAATATTACTCAAGTAAAAGTAAAAAGTAGTCATCCAAATAATAACTTGAGTAAGAGTAAAAGAGTATTTGGTGAAAAAAACTACTCAAGTACTAAGTAACTGTTGAGTAACATCTCATTTATTTGTAAAATAAGAACATGAACGTAATCAATCAAAAATAATAATCTGCAAATTCATGTATTTTAAACGATACCCCTTTAACTACAACAAAAATAAATTAAATCTTTACAAACATAACATAAATCAAGGCACAAGAAACACAAATATATTCTTATATATACTGTACATATATATATATATGTAATTATGTACTCAGAGGTGGGTAGAGTAGCCAAATATTGTACTCAAGTAAGAGTATTGTTGCTTTAAAACAATATAACTCAAGTAAAAGTAAAACGTATTTTGCATTAAAACTACTCTGAAAAGTACAATTTATCCAAAAAGTTACTCAAGTAAATGTAACTGAGTAAATGTAACTAGTTACCCACCTCTGCAAATAATAATCTAATATTGTACATTTTATTATAAAGGATATTTTTGCTATTGATTTTACCTCTTCTTAAAATCTGTAATACTGCCCAACCTCCCAACTTTCGACTCAGTTGTAATAGTGGATTAACAGGTTGCTCGCTATGTGTTGTGTTGTGATGTTTAGATTATAGATTTTCCCACACCCCCTGAACGCCGCATGTGTTCAGGCACAAGCAGCGATGCACTTCAAAGGGAGGAGAGTCCCGCAGGCAGCAGCCGATGAAACACTTGTGCTTTCACTGTGTTTTCGATGTTAGGGTTTATTTTTTAGCGCCACAGGACAAGTTCTAACTTATTTAATTTAGTTATCTAACAACTGGATTTTGCTTTTCATTCAAAATCCCAAAAAACCCGAACTTGTTGCCAGGCTTCTGAGATCATTTTATATCATTTACCACCATTAAAACTTGTGTCCTCGGAGTTAAAGGTAAGATTTGACACGTATGTTCTCTTCTGTTTAATTCTCAAAGAGCTCAGCTACTAACACTAGCCTGGAGCAATTGTTGCAAATATTGACTTAACATTTGCTTGATTATGCAGCATCATTTAACAGACCTCAACCTGTGCTTTGCGGCTGCTTCCAGGAGCTTAGTTAAGCAGAGGAAAGGCGGAAAAGTAATTTTTTTTAGGGATCAGATGCTTCATGTTGTTTAATTTATTCTAGCTCACATGCTGTCATTTTAATTGTGTCAGATGCCCTCATGTAGGGGTTCAGTTTAATGGAAAGTCACACAATACTGTGTAACTGTAGAGTCCCACAGCAGCCTGAAGCACGTCTGACAGTTCATTGTGAGCATCATGACTGTGTAGTTTTAAAGGTAGAAACTCTATCTACAGGGAGACAGCAGCCATGTGGGTCCTGTCATCAGTTCATCCATAGTTGAGGACAGATATGGACGGGGGTGGCTGCCTCCAATTAGACTACCTCTCTTGTCCCATGACACTTTTTCCGATCCTTTTAGGCAACATCTGTCTGCCATCTATCACACTATCTGCTTCGGTGTCTTTCCAGAGAAGATACTGCACCACCTACTTAGCCCTTTGATACACTAATTAATTGCGCACACGTCAGCAGGGAGTAGGATTCGCTTTGACATGATGGAAAGTGGTTTTCTTGAGTTGACACGCTGCCCAGACTTAGTTACAGGTTAATTTGCAGACATAAAAAATTGATTTTGCGCGCAATAATTAGGACGTGTTACTGATGTGCAGCTCTGCTCAGGAAACTACTTGCTTCTCTTTATATCCTGTTATTGTTGGTATAGATGGAATATTGTGGCTAATACTTTAATGCACCTAAAGGCAGGTAGTGGACGTTTTCTCATGATAGTAACATGCAGTGTTGTGCTTAACGTGACTGCAACAAAGAAAGCGGAGTAAAAAGCTGCACAACAATCATTCACGTGGCTTTAATCAGTCTAATTTTCTTCTGCCTGCATGTTGATTAAGCTCCTGTGATGTCACATGTTCTGTGTAACTGTTTTGGAAGCTCACATTGTAGCCGTAGTGGCTTAAAAATTTTAGCAAAGTGCATGTTGTGCATTTGTTTTTACCTTCCCAGATGGGAAACAATGAGGCAGGGTTTGACATCCATCAAGGGCAATGCAACAGGTTTTACAGTTGTAAATCCTCAGAGAGAGCCGGAAATGGACTCGTGTGCTGACCTGACGCTGCCATATTACCTCATGCATGATATTGTTCCAGAGATATTACGTACATGTTACTTTTGTATTATTTTCACAGGTCATGAGTCACAGTGTAATAGCCTACCTGTAAAAACACTTGCAAAAGTTCATAGAAGTGTTTCTTACTCACAAATGACACTCCCTTCTCTTATCCCTCTCTTTTTAACGTCACAAACATGGGATACCCGTGGCGCTTTACACTGTCTCAGAGCAAGAAGTAGGACTGTTGCACAGTCAAAAGCCATAGTCTGCATTAGTGACCTATAAACATAACAGGTGGTTCAGATAACCACATATGTGGTTCAGAGAACTCACTGCCGGTGAGTTCTCAGTAGAAACATGCTGAGGGAAGTATAGTATTTTCCAGATTGTAATCTGATGGTGTTTTGGATTAAATGTATTTTTCTGCAATGCTTGAATGCCATCTGGTACAGTAGCAGATGTTTATGTACTGGATCCAAAGCAAGAGTTTATTTTTTTCATTTCTGCATTAAGAGTACTGAAATAAAGATGTCCGAACTCTTAAATGTCCTTTTTTGGCAGCCCTCACCCATTTGCTACTGGGTCAGTAAGCTTTAGAGTGTCCACGTCTTGTATTTTTCATGACGGATGAGTACTTAACAAGGCTCCTCCTATAGAGGGCAAGGCTTACTTACAGTCATACTATCTCCAGGACTTATGTCACTTCTTCCACTGCAGGTATGGACACACATGCAGTGCAGCAGAGAGAGCTCCTGTCTGCAGCCGGTAGCTAGCCATGCCTAGCTAGGTGTCTTATGCTGCTGGACTCCTTCTCTCTACCTGAATCGTGGTCATAACCTCCAGGACTTTCCAGGACTTTGAAGTCCTCCTTGGCCCTCTCTGTACTTGACCATGGGGGAAAGGCGTGCACACTCTTTTCACATGACGTGCCACGTACAACGCGACTATGGCAGCAGGATGGGGAGCTCCTTCATAAGTTGCAGACCCAACGGATACGCCAGCACGAGCCTCAGCCTCAGCCTGGACCAGGAGATGGACGCGGCCTCCATTGGCACTACAACTACCAGCTCTGCCCTACGGGCTCCTGCGCCCGACAGGAGCCACTACTCTCCTGTTTCACTGGAACTAGACCCCACAGCGGTGAATAATGGATCAGGCATTCCCTGCTGTCCGCCAGCAGACACAATGAAGCCAGCGCGGCAGACCATACGCAGCCAGCCCTCCATCACCTCTGGCCCTCCGCCTCTCCCTCGTTCGAGCTGGCTGCATCATCATCAAAAGGATTTCCAGAGCCCGTACATCAAGACTAGCATGCAGGGGGATGTTTACAACTTCCTAGAGAGACCTGCTGGATTGAAATGCTTCCTCTACCACTTCCTCGTGTGAGTACCTGTCTGGTTCTGTGTGTACCGACTTCAGCACAGACTGCAGGTCAGTTTGGCAGCAGTGCTGAATGAGTAGACATAGTTACAGATGACCATAGAGGTTGACAAGCATGTGTTAGTCTCAAAAGACAGACTTATGGTAAATAAACATTGTTAGGAGCGCTTACAGAAAACAGTCTCCCTTAACACAATGCAAAATTAAGTCTTTAGCATTCAATTAATAGAAGAACAAAAGCCTTCATGAGGTGTATCTGAAACTTTTGGAAACTTAATAAACCTAATCACAATACACCTTTATTACAAGCCGTTACAAATTCAGTTAACAGTCTAGTTGAGGGTCTGACTTCAGGCCTGTGTGGTGTCTCCGGTCCCTCTCTCGTTAATTACATCTAGTGCTGCTCCCTCCAGTATTAGGTTCTGGTTCTCAGTAACACAAGGAGAGGTGTGTGTGGCCTGCTGGCTGTCTGCGGTTGTTTTAAGATAGCCCAAGAGAAAGAGGTCAGCGTGATCTGGTCAACCAATCTGGTCTATTTCGCTCTGTCTTACAGTCAACAAATCAGCCACCTCATGCATGAAACATGGCGCTTCCTCCTTGATGCTGCTAACTTGACCTGCCAGGAGAACTCTCTGACCTACAGTGTAAAACACAGCTACATGAATCACTTTATTAACTGTGACTTAGGAACACTCTCCTCTCCTTTGATGGTGCTAATGTGCTTAGACTGATAAAGTCAGAGTGTTTTAGCATGTGTAATGACTGGAAAAGACCATGCTGCAGAATTTGGATTGTCACACACATAAGTTTTGGTATATACTGTCTTGTATTGACAATCTAATTTGGTTTCCATCTTTCATGTAACTCCATTCAAATATCCTGGAAACTAAGTCGGACATGTGGTGTAAATTAGGTAGAGGAAACAATACAAAAATCCATGGTAAAAACATAAAAACTTGCAAGCATCCTACAGATTAATTAGTATGTTCAAAAGCCTGTGCTAGTTTCGACCTCAAATGCACAGAATTCCAATATGTTCAGCACATTATATTCAAAGTGTAAAATTTCCCCTTTGTATCCAGCTAACATGATGTGACTGAAGGATCTTCCATGATCTCTAAAGTATCCCGCAATTTAGTCCCAGACATCATGGTAAGCCCTGAGCCCATGGATTTAGACCAGATTAGATGAAAATGTGAATGATAATAATAGAAGTTCAATTGAAAGGCATTTACTGAACTCTTCTGCGCTCAGCTGAATCACACATTAAGTCAAATAAACAGATATTTTTTCAGAAAAGGTGGGGCTAATTTGGATTCCTGTTTGCGTGCAAATATGGATGTTCCAAAGTTTGTGTATTAAGGCTTTTTTTTTTTTGCTCCTCTATCGCCACAGAGCACTATATCTTTTTCTTTAATTGTCCTCAAACAGGAGATGTAGTTTGGGTACAGTTAAAAGCATCCTGATCAGCGTGTTACCCACACACTTTGAAAGAGTGTTAGGAGGATTAGTTGCTGCCGCTGCTATAGTTACACATGCATCCTGACCTGGGGCATTAATTGGCTAAAAGTGCCAAAGGACTCCCACACATTGGGTTTGGTTCCTTATTAAGCTCACACTGTAATGAATGTTTTTAAGGACGTAGGTTTCGTTTTGCGTGTCCAGCACTCATCTTGTTCAAGATAATACAGGTATGTTTTTTAATATGATATGAAAAATTCATAGTGACTACGTTTACATGGACAGTTGAATTCCCTTTTCATTCGGAATGAAAGTTCTCTCCTATTAAAAGTGATCTTGTAAACACTTAATTTGGAATGAAATTGGCCAATGCGATTGAAAATTCAATCCGATGTAAGGGGCTGGAATATTCTGTTTCTACTTCCGAATGAAAGAATTTCTTGCACTTGTATACTAGGGTTGGGTCGGTTCTTGGTAATACCAATTCGGTTCGGTACTCTGACCGGACCGCATACGTCATTTTACAGCCTGTGTCTGCCTCTTCGCCAAGCGCACAGCGAGCAGGAGAGAGAGGGGGGTGGGGTTGGGGCGGGGACTGAGCTAGGGGGTGTGAGTGTGCATGCGCCGAGGCCTCTACTGTAGCCTGGAGTTTGTTTAATAGTGACAGGGAGTCGATAGTGGCGAACAGTTTAGTCTCGAAGAAATCAAAGAATGCGCCACTATGGCAACACTTTGGCTTTGAGCCAGACGAAGGAGGCAACCCTTGATTGCACTGACTGAGTAAGCTAAATCTGCAAATTTATTTGTAAGGAATAAAAGAAACAATGTGTTACTGTCACTCTGTTGTCCTATGGTTGTTTTTTATGTTAAATGAGTCAATTGCACCCCCAAGTGGCGAAAATCCGGTATTACCGACTTGATGCGGTTTTTCACAAAAACCTGACAGTTTTTTTTTTCTCATACCGACCCAACCCTATTGTATACACTCATTCCTCTTGAAGTTCATTCCGGTCTTTCTGCACATGCTCGTTTCCTTGCCCTTCTGGCACGATGACGTATATAGCGCGCATAGCAACGGGCTGAGATAGAGCAGTCGGACTAATTGCACTCACCGGTTTCCATACGCAAAAGCACGGTCTTCTACCTCCCTTCTCCTCCTCAACAGATGAAGCATTAGCAGAACAAGGTTGTTGTCGTACTGCTGCTTCAAGAATATAAGCAAAACAAGCCTTAAAAAGGCACTAAGAACGGCATCGTCAGGCATCTTGTTATCCGGAGCGAGGACTACAGTGTTTTCTTCCGGTAAACGTAAACACGTAACATCCGCCCCGCCCCCTATCCAATCAGAAACCTTCCCTGCCCCAAACCTTGCAAAGACCCGAATAAAGAAGATTAAACTGATCTCCCGTGTAAACCCTCATTCGGAATGAATATTTCCCATGTAAACTACCTGGAAAGACTTTAATTCTGAATGATTTAATTCAGATTTATTTCATTCTGAATGAAAAGCCATCATGTAACCGCATCCATTGTGATACTAGCCATATTTTGGCTTGTTGACATACTGATGTCATACTGTTACGCATGGCAACAACAGGCACGGCTGAAAGTGGAATTATGACTGACTTTGTGGTGGTTCCAAAAAGAGGAGCAGCCTCAGTAGTGTGGAATAAACTGTGGCGTCATGAATGTTGTATGATCAGTCCCGGACTTGTCAGACTCTTTTAGTGACTTGCAGAACTCATTCAGAGGCCCCTCTGGCAGCAGCACAGCATCTCTCCCTGTCCTCTCTCGATGTGCGCACATGTCATCAAGTGATTTTGTCATAAACATTTGGTAATGTCAACCTACATGACGCTCGCAGCTCGACAAAGAACTCCATATATGTGAATGGGCGATAGATCTGGTATCATAACAGCCTGTCACAGGTTACAGCGTGATGATGAGAGGAGAAACGGCAGAGCATAAAGATCCAGGTGGAAAAAAGCTTCTCAATCATTTAGGATTTTACTAAAAGAAGGAAATCACCTGTTGATTTATATATATATAGATCCCAGGGGACATTTTGTATTTGGGAGCTGTTTAAATGTGTAATTTGTGTATCTGGCGTCCTTTTACATACAGGAGCACCTGTGGGCAAATGTGTGTAAAAAAAACCTGCACATTTTCTCAAAAATTTTAATTAAGGATGAACCTTAAACCTTCAAAGCTTCTACCTTTTGGGTCATGACTCAGCTGTTAAGCAGCTCTGGCACATGAGTGTGTGGTTTGCTATGCAACTTCTGGCAACAACCTCAATGCCTGCACCTTCTAAAAGGTCCTGTTACTCCCAAATCATCCATTATCCAAACACATTCATCCCCTCTACAGTGCTTTTGCTCAGTTGCCTTCAAATTACCTAATCATTTAAGCATAGGCGTAATGTTTAGTCATTAAAATTGGCAGGTACGCCTACCACTTTTCAGCTCTGTCTGTGTGAAATTGTGCTTGAAGAGAAGGAGAGTTAGTCTGTCTCATTAAGATGTCGCCTTTATCAGTCAAAGATGAATGGAAACACTGCGGAGATTCCCCGTTGTCCTGTGTGTATGTGTGTTTTGTGTGCCCTGCCTTGATGATAATCTGCTCCAGCAGTAATTGGGACTCTAATGTTCTCCCCTCACAGAGGAGAGAGAACCCGAGCCTGTCCTTCATTTAATATTAAACCCTTCTGACTGATCCCCGCTGACACTCCTTTAAGTAACTCTTACTTGTCGATGGCTATCGCTGGTGGCCATCTATTCTCCTGGCCTCTTTAGAGATTGGCAATGGAGAGGGGAGGCATAAAGGGCCGTATGCAGCCCTCACGACAGCCCTAATAGGTCGGCTCTAATAGGCCTGCTCTACATTAGGATGACACCCACGCAGACAAACAACACACACACACGCACAGGTGGCTGCTCAATTCATCACTGCCTTTATCGTGCTGAGGCCCGGTTAAGCAACATTTCCACAACAGCCGGCAATTTAGCACACACAAACAGAGCACATGTTTGCATGCAGCCACAGGCATGCATCTACCACAACACACTCACGCACACACAGATGCTTCACAGATGTGCAAATGTGGTTGCAGAATACAGTGCAGCAAAATACATGAACATATTGGTTCACATATATAGGTCTGAAAATGCACTCATCAACACTCCATCTGGCTGTTTCAGAACATCTGTCCAATCAACAGGTAGAGTAGTGGGATAACACACAGATCTATGGGGAGAAATTTGACTCTCAATAATGCTTGCACAATATACACTCGTGTGTTGATGTACATACATCCTTTAAATCACTCTTTTCTGTAACAGTTGATGGATTTGACCAGTTTGTTTTGTTCCTGAAAGCTGATATAAATCCCACTGATTTTAGACAAGAGGCTTTTATTTCTTTGTGAAATATTTCTGTGAGTGAGCGTGAGTTTGCAATGGAAAGAAAGAATTCCTTCATTAGCCCCTCAAGCTGGGGCGCTGAAAGGGGGGGGATTCTAGGGGCCCATGATTAAGAGGGG